TTACTGTGAGCCAGGCCCTGAAGGAGCGAGGGAAGAATTCAGGGGAAAGGGAATGACAAGTGACATAGGAAGAGTCTTTTATAAGGTGGAGGGCACGTTGCAGCAAGTTTCCCCTCAGAGGGAACTGGACATTACCTTTCTCTTCTCCCGGATCCCTACCTGTCGGGATGCCTTCTGCTTTGAGTAACGGATGCCTGCTTGACCGCCAAGTGGTGGTCCACAGTTTATTAAGTCGTATGGTAAGAGAGTCAGAGAGAAGCCCCCAGAAGCTGGGTCGTTTGACACACATCTCAGCAGTGTCTCGGCTCAGGGTCAAATTCTCTGTGATTTTCTTCCAACAAAGATGAAACAATGGTAAGAGCAGAAAAGCCAGGTCAGGTGTTTTTGTCAAGTCTGTCTGTCTCTGTTTTTTTTTTTTTTTTTTAAGATTTTATTTATTTTTTTGAGAGGTAAAGTTACAGAGAGAAACAGGCAGAGAAGTCTTCGATCTGCTGGTTCACTCCCCAGCTGGTCTCAACAGCCCAAGCTGGGCTGATCTGGAGCCAGGAGCTTCCTCTGTGTCTCCTTTGTGGGTGCAGGGGCCCAAACACTTGAGCCATCTTCTACCACTTTCCCAGGTCTTAGCAGAGAGCTGGATCGGAAGTGGAGTAGCTGGGACTCAAACCAGTGCCGATTTGGGATTCTGGCACCGCAGGTGCATGCTTAGCCCACTACACCACAGCGCTGGCCCTGTGTCTCTCTTGTTAAACCAGGGAACCTACTAGAACAGTTCCCGCACAAGCAGATTTTTTGTCACATCTCTTTGGCTGATAATAGGTCACATCCTTATTCCCAAACCAGTCACCAAGAGTGGAGAGTGAGATTGATATTACTGGCCTGGATTTGTTGCACTCATCCACAGGGCTGTGTGAGGATCTGCTGTTCCTGAACAACTTGGGATTCTGTGAAGTAGGAAGTGGACAGGGAGGGAGTGGCTGCTGAGAAATCAGCCGAACACAGTTTACCATGCCTTATTAACGTGTTCAGACAGAAACTTTTTTTTCTTTATATTTTATTTTATTTAATGAACATAAATTTCCAAAGTACAGCTTATGGATTACAATAGCTCCCCCCCCATAACTTCCCTCCCACCCACAACACTCCCCTCTCTCACTCCCTCTCCCCTTCCATTCACATCAAGGTTAATTTTCAATTATCTTTATATACAGAAGATCAATTTAGCATATATTAAGTAAAGATTTCAACAGTTTGCACCCACACAGAAACACAAAGGGTAAAATACTATTTGAGTACTAGTTATAGCATTAATTAAACACCTGAGAGTAATTGTGTATTAATTGCAGAGTTCAACCAATAGTTTTAAGTAGCACATAAAAAATACTAAAAGGGTAAAGTATTAAGTTCTTTTTGTTTGTTTTGTTATATAGTTTTTTTTATTTAATAAATGTGAATTTACAAAGTGCAACTTGTGTATTGTTGTGCCCCCCCCAAACCTCCCTCCCTCCCGTGGCCCTCCCCTCTCCCACTCCCTCTCCCATCCCGCCCTTCATCGAGTTTCATTTTCAAGTACCTTCATATACTGAAGATCAACTTAGTATATACTAAGCAAGGATTTCAACAGGCTGCACTCACACAACCACACAAGGTAATAGGGTATTGTTCGACTAGTAGTGTTGAGAAACTTCTTTTTGTTGTCCGTGACCATCTGATACCTCCATGATTTCCATCCATATAATTAGTTTTTAAAGCTTGGGTTGTCCTTGGGGCATTTGGTTCTGGCTAAAAGGCCCATGAGAGTCTCACAGGCATGGAAAGCCATGACATGGTAGGAAAAACAACCTAAATGAAAGATCCTGGTAAACAAGACCCCAGCAGAAGGAACAGACCATCAAGGAGGGAGGTGCCTTTCTCCGAAGGGAGGAAGGAACCTCCACTGTGATACGGCCTTGACTAAACAAGGTCAGAGTCGGTGAACTCAAGGGGCTTCCATAGCCTAGACAGCTCATGGCAAGATCCTTGGGTGATTGCTGACATCATAAATAAGAGTGCCAATTGTTAAATCAACAACGGGAGTCACTGGGTACATGCTCCCCACGTAAGATCTCTGTCCTTAATGTGTTCTACTATGAAACTTAAAAACAACACTACTAGTCGAACAATATCCTATACCTTGTGCGGTTGTGTGAGGGCAGCCTGTTGAAATCCTTGCTTAGTGTATACTAAGTTGATCTTCAGTATATGAAGGTAATTGAAAATGAAACTCGATGAAGGGCGGGATGGGAGAGGGAGTGGGAGGGGAAGGGCCGCGGGAGGGAGGGAGGTTGGGGGGGGGGGAAGCCACAACAATACAAAAGTTGCACTTTGTAAATTCATATTTATTAAATAAAAAAAAAGAAAAAAAAAACATGGGTTGTTTCTGCAGGATAATTCTTCCGTGACACTGTATTGGTTTAAGTTTTGAGTTTGAATAGCCATATTTCACTAGCACACTCAGTAGGAAAATTAGCCAGGAATTGTCATTATCCAATCAAAAGATGCTTAGCACCCCCCCCCCGCCCCCATCCCTTTAGAACATTTGACCAGATCTGGGGAGGTGTGCTGCTATTAATTGAAAAGAGATGGGAGCCGATGCTGTGGCATAGCAGGTTACCACCTTGGCCTGAAGCGCCGGCATCCCATATGGGCACCGGTTCTAGTCCCGGCTGCTCCTCCTCCGATCCAACTCTCTGCTATGGCCTGGGAAAGCAGTAGAAGATGGCCCCTGCACCCACGTGGGAGACCCATAAGAATCTCCTGGTTCCTGGCTTCGGATCGGCACAGCTCCAGGTGTTGCAGCCATCTGGGGAGTGAACCAGAGGATGGAAGACCTCTCTCTCTGTCTCTACCTCTCTCTGTAACTCTTTCAAATAAATAAAATAAATCTTTTTTTTTAAAAAAGAGAGATGAAATGCTGATAACTGTGAGTTTAGGAATATGATATTGATGGGATTTAGAACTAGTGCCCCGCAGAAGTTAATGAGCAGAAGCCATCAGAGGCCCAGGGCAACCTGAGATGAAGGATTTCACACACTAGTTTGGGGGTTGTGACTGATACCTTCAAGCCATGGGACACAAGAGCAGAGCATTTGCACAGAGGCAAGTGAATCACCCTCTCCTCCTCTTATCTCGCCCCGAGACCACACTTTATCTGTATTAGGAATTTTTAATTGCCTTTGTTTTATATATCACTCCCTTTGATTGATGTGCTTTTCACCAAAGTAAACACATTTCAGTGACAAGAAGTCTTCTAGGGACAATATAATTGATACTTGTGTATATAACTCTAGGCTATGATCTGTCTGTTGGAACTGGCCTAATCCTTGGGAAATATCTAAGGCCATTTAAAGCCATTAGGTTTGTCAACTTTGATGCAGAATAATAAATGCCTGTCCCAGTGCATGCTAATTTTCTTGAATTTTTCTTACCACCTTCTATCCTGAGTCACCAAAGCCCAGTTTTCTAAGTCGTCACTTCCCAAACATCTGACAAATGTTTCCACTGTCTTCTTAACTGGTGCTCTTGGTTTAACAGAATTAATTAAACACCAGACTTTCAAAAGCATCTAATTCAGGACATCCTTAAATTGATTTTCAGTGGCTTGCATATTTTTCTTTTTGGTGAGGGCTGGTGTATCTCCTTGCTGGTAAATGGGTCCATCTCTGATTAGGCAGGTTCCCCTAGAGAGGCCATGGGACATAATTGCACAAGTCAACCCCTCACATACATGTGTGTGAAGAACATTCAGTCGGTGCTGCTTGGCTATTTGGCCGACATATGTTTGCATAGAAATACATTGCGATCTGTCTCTTCAGATAGACTAATAGCATAACTTTTCATTGTTTTATGTGCCATTTTCACTTTGTAACATGTATGAATATCCTGTTTCTAATTTAGTAACATGTGGAACAAGGCAGAGGTATAAAATTTAAGCTTTTTGGGGCCATGCAGTGTCAGCATCCCATATGGGCACTGGTTCGAGTCCTGGCTGCTCCTCTTCCAGTCCAGCTCTCTGCTATGGCCTGAGAAAGTAGTGGAAGATGGCCCATGTCCTTGGGCCCCTGCACCCATGTGGAACACCCAGAGGAGGTCCCTGGCTTCTGGCTCCTGGATTCTGATTGGCGCAACTCTGGCCTTTGTGACCATTTGGGGACTGAACTAGCAGATGAACCAGCACACCCCTCTCCCCTCTCCCCTTCCCCTCTCCACTCTCCCCTCCCCCCCCACTCTGCCTATGCCTCTCTCCAACTCTGCCTTTCAAATAAATGAATATTTTTTAAAAATTTAAGCTTTTTACTCTGTGTAGATTATGTCTGTTTATGCATGTACCTGAAGTGTATATAAAATCATACATATCTATTTTTCCTGAGACCAAGGAAAACTTTTTGTTTTAAAAGCGAAAGGCAGCTAAGGCATTTCATGATGTCACATGGTTTGTGAGAGGGAAAAATGCAGAGAGGTAGATGTTTGGTGCAGTGGCCGAGTTGCTGCTTGGGACACTCGCATCCCATATTAAGAGTGCTTGGTTCAAGTCCTGGTTCCTCTGCTTCTGATCCAGCTTCCTGCTAATTCACATTCCGAGAGGTAGCAGGTGTTGGTTCAAGGACTTGGGTCCCTGCCACCCACGTGGGAGACCTGGATTGTATTCCAGCTCTTGGCTCTTGCCTGGCCCAGCCTTGGATGTTGTGGGCAGTTGGGGGAATGAATCAATGGATGGAAGATCTCTCAGTCTGTTTCTCTGTCTCTGTCTTTCTGCCTTTCAAATAAGATGGGAAAAAAATTTAAGAGAATCAACACACATTGAAAAATGAGCAATGTGAAGATGACCCTGTATTTATTCAGTAATAATATCCTGCCTCTTAAGCATGCTGTTCCCTGAAGTTAATGCGATAGAGAACATCTTCTCCTGGGTCATCTCATTAGATAAAGTGTTTTCAAGGTTGTATTTTGTTTTCTTCTTACAGCCAAGGATTACTGCAAAGTAATATTTCCATATGAGGCGCAGAATGATGATGAATTGACAATCAAAGAAGGGGATATAGTCACGCTCATCAACAAGGTAATCAAAGGTTCTCTCCTGCCTTCTAAACTCTGCACTGCTACCAGCTTTTGCTTTAGGCCTTGACATGTGTGGTTTTCATGGTTCTGAACTAGTGAGGAAGAATCTTGACTTTCCTTTTTGCACACCAAGCCCCACGTGTGCGGGTGAAACCTAATGGATTTCTTTTTGCCATGGAGCCAGCTATAGATCTGCATGGCTCTGCAGTAAAGTCTGTTCGGGAAGGAATAACCCAGACAGCAGCCTGGTTGGCTGGAGATCCTGCCCTCCACAGCACTGGGGCTGTAAAGCTGTGTCATGTGGGACTCAAAGAAGGGCCAAAAGGTTGGAGGATGATGACTTTATTATCCTTATAGCCAGAGCCCTATAAACACCTCACAAGCTCTAAAATCAGTGGGAAGTGATGCAGTCTCACAGGGTTTTGACCACGTACTGTTTCTGCTTTCATGCGCTGGTACTCGCCAAGTGAGGAGTAGAAAGATTCCTAGGATTTATGGCCTTTTTGCTGAAGTATGGGATTTTTATGCTGTTGGAGTAGCATAAGAAGCTGGACAGTCTCTAGGATGTGGAAGGTGGTTTTATTCTTGCATCTAGGTGTGGCAGGGCACGGGTGTGACTTGGGAGACCCTCATGGCTGCCTGAGCTCTTGCACAGCTGGAAAGCCTTGGCAGGGTGGAAGATTCGGGAAAGGGAGAAAGAGAGTGTGGTCTTCGGATCAGGGATAGAGCCAGGCTGCCACTGCGTTTGGCCATGACCGAGAGGGGGAACCTTGTTGTTGCCTTTCCCTAACTCCACTCCCAGGTTGGTCTACAGAGTGATCAGGAGGATTGACCTTTATAACTGAGGTGGTTACTGCTAAGAAGTGACTTTAGAGAGTGTGCATTTTCAGAGCCCAATCCAAAGATGCCAGAGAACCAGTGACCCAGAGGTCAAGTAGCTTGCCAGAGGTCAGGTTTTTTATGGGAAAGAGCTGATCCTCTTGTGCGCTCTGTATATGAAAGTGGTGCTAATTATGCCATTCTGCAAATCACCCGAGAACTTGTCCGTCTTGTACCTGTAAAGTCCCCTCCTGTCACGTCCATCAGTGTAGCTCTGCAGGTGTGGAATGTAGCAGGAGGGCATGTGGGGGTGGGGGACGATGCTGCTGCCTGTGGCCTTGCGTTCTGCAGGTGGCGAGGCCGAGCAGTTCCGCCCTCTCGCACCACCTCTCCTCTGGGCTTTCTGTGGACGGCTTTCGTATGACAGTGCTTTTCCTACTTTTAATCAGACCTGTAACCAAACTCACACAATAGGAAGTTGTTACATGGGTGTGAAGCACAATACAAATGCGTTAGTGATGAGTAAGCCACTAGATTTTAGTAACATTTTCCCTGTCATGCCGGAGCAGCCAGAGAATGAAATAGCTTCCACGCTTCCTAGCGGGGGGACTTCCTGTCCTGCTTTTGTTCTGGTTCGGTTTTGGAGGAGGGACAGGATTTTTCAGTTGAAAACCTGACGTGTGGATAACATTTAACAAGGTTTGAGAAAAGAAAGGCAGCCGTGGATGGTCTCTTATATGAACACATCTGTCTCTGTCAATAAGCAATACCGCAGTCCTTGCCCTTCGAGTGCGTATTGAGATGGGAACACCTTCATCTGAGGACCTGGTGCCTAACCCAGCCTGACTTGTCCAATCTGATAACAAACCCTAATTTGTCTAAAGAGCTTCCGAAAGGAGTAGCTCCTGGTCTCATCCTCACAGTAGAGGGAAATGAACAGGCGGATGAGGCAGGAACCCACCCACTTTTATTAGTGGCCTGGAGGGCTGCATCCCATTTCCCTGGCTTCACGGATTAATGTCTTTAGAAGCAGTTTGCAAACTGGGAAGCAGCTTACCAACATTTACATTTGCAGAATGTGACGTCATCATCTTCCCTGGGCACTTGATCCCTTGATCTGGCTCGCACACTCACCCTGCCCCCTGGACCTTGAATTCTTGCAGCGTTTTCACACTGCCCCCACCCTTAGCCTTAGGATTCTGTCCTTTGGTGTTCCTGTCACTTCCTGTCTACACGAGTAGAACCCAGGTTTGAGTCCTCCTGTACCTGCCCGGGTAGATGAGCAGGGCCAGGCCCTCGCCATCATCTTTTCTCCACCATCCATCACGGCATCCGGTCTAGAGGAGAGTCCTAGACTGGTGAAGGCGGAGGGGTCGCTTTCCTCTGCTCCAGTCTGCCTCCCACCCCAATACCGGCCTCATCCCCAGCACGCCAGCCCCTTCTTTCTGTCACCCATAATAACACTGTCGTCTGGTAACCCCCTTGTGCCAGCCAAAGCCTTTAGCATCTTGCCTTTCCTTTCTGTGAAATCCAGATAGAGGCTCCTGGTACTCCTGGTACACCCAAGCGGTCTGGCCTCTGCCTGTGACCTTGGTCTTTGTGGCTGTTCTACAGGAACCTCCTGTGTGTCCCCTTCCTCCTTGTGCGTCCTCACTGATCTGGTCCTGACTGTGTTCCTACTGCCCAGCATCCCCTCTTGATTGTTTCTGAGAACTGATAAGACAGGCAGCTTTAGCCCATGCTGTCTGGGCCCATTTTGAGCTTGTTGATTAAAACAATCTCCTGTGCTCTGTTGCCTGCCTTTTATTATTTTATATGATCTGCTGGGAAATCAGGCTTTTTGCTGTCCTGTACCTGTACACAGTGTTACTTTTGTTCCCATAAAATACCTGTCAACCCTGCCTAGCATTCCAGTTTGTTGGAAGCAACATATTGAGATGACAAGTGCCATGCAGGCTACCAGCTTGGGGAAACCAGGGTTTGAGTCCCATCTCCATTGCTCTTGGCTGTGTGTCTTTGGACATGTGTCTCAACCCCTCTGTGCTTCAGTTTCCTCAGCCAAAAAAACCAGCTGTTTCTGCTTGGTGAGGATTTACTAAGACTCCATGGTTGTTGTAATATCTCTTGCGAGGAGGGGTCTGCCAGTGAAACCTGCAGTCCTAGGAGCTGTCACCTCAGTTCGGCTGCTCTTCTGTGGACCTCACAAATGGGAATGGGAGGGTTCTTGTGTCTGGGCCCAGTTTTCTGCTATGGCTGCCGCGCCATGTCCTTAAGTAGGTAAAAATGGTGAAAAATGTCCCTGACTTGGTTACAGATTCACAGCGGGTGAGATTTTAGCAAGAACTTGGCAAGAAAGCATGCCATGTGTGATTTCCCTGCTGAAACGGGGAGAAGTGAAGTCAGAGCAGGGTTAGGGTTAGGGTTGGTATTATAGACAATTCCTGCCTCTTTCTCTAAGTTAAGGAATCAGCTAGAAGTTCCTTTAGATGACCGTGTGCTATTGCTATTATAAAACAAGTATTTCCGCCATGATTTGAATAATGTGCATTTTGGTTACTGGATGTACGAGTTAGGGTGAGAGACCGGAAATGCTAGTGACTGAGTTCAATTGCATTTGCTGGGAGATTCTCATAGACCCCGAGTTCCGCCTACTCAGTCGGTTCGGGTGGTTTCCCTCTGCCCTGCCCTTCTGTGCTGTGGCAGGAGTTACAGGGCAGGCGTTGCCCTCATTTTTAGCTCGAGATTGTCAGCTCGTGTGGCTTTCTAGAAAATGAGTCAGACACCTTTAGTGGGTGTCTATAAGCCCTCTGCAGATACTGAAATAATGTGCCAAGACCTGAACTGTTTATGCATGTGTCCCTGGAAACTAGGATGAGATGTGGCAACCCGAGTGGTTTGTTTTTCGTTTATTTATAAAGAATTCTTGCAGATTTTGGAACATTTCCACTTGGTGCAGAACACACCTGTGTTTAGCTTTTATTTCCAGTCCCTCCAAAATAGCTCCTGCGTCTGTGTTCCTGCCGCCCCCAGCCCTACCTTCCTGATTTGTGCTCAGAGCGTGTTTGAGAAGCTGCCGAAGCCTCTGGGTCTGGTTTCCAAGTGGGGCAGCTCCCTGGAGAAGAACAGAGGGCAGCTTGGTGGGATCCAGGCCACGGCCCAGCTGGGAGGGTAGCCGCCATGAGAGGGTGGAGCTGGCTGTGGCTGTTGCCACTTGGGGCAGAAGGGGCCCAGCTGGGGAGAAAGGCCCTGTGCCTGCTCTTGGCCAGCAGCCTCCTGCCTCAGGGCAGCAGCCCTTTTCTCACAGCCCCTCTAACCTGAAAGCTTTCTTACGTGGCCTTCTTATAACAAGAATATTTGGATGTTTCCTATTAAAGGACTTCCCTGCATAGCTGTGTCTTTAGCCTGCAAAGCGAGCAAAACCCCCATTTCTTCACTGTTACAACATTAAGATAAACACCTAGGTAGGTGATATTATTGGCTGAAATCATGGAGTGTAGAGGTGGAGGCAGGGGCTGACGAGGATACAAGATGCCATTGACGTTCGTGCCAGGAAGCCAGTGGAGCACCTGAGAAGGAGGGCACCCAGAGCCTCAGAGAAGGCTGTTTGCGGCGCCCTCGGCTGCAGTCGTGTAGACACTCCTCGGACTGAGGATCATCACGACGTGATCGGCCACAGTTGTAGTTTGTACCCTGTGCTCTCCCCCTCTCAGTGTTCATTCGTTGACAAATACTTATGATGTGCCAGGAACTATGCTAGGTGCTGGAGATACCACGATGAATTAGAAACGGACCAAAACTCAACACCCCAGTCAAACAGACGGACCAGGAATTGAGCCTTTTCCTAGGGAGCCTGGGTATTGGGAGCTAGACCTGCTGCAGGGGTGGAGTTAGGACTGAACATGAACTTCCCCAGCTTCTTTTCCTCTCTGTCTCAACATGTTGTCTTCTCCCCTTTTCCCACAGGACTTGAACGTTCAGCCTACTTAGTAGCTCAGTGTCCCTGCAGGACCATGGCTCGCCACTGCAGGGTCCCGGCTTGCTAGCAGCCAGAGTGCAGTGCCCCAGGCACCTTTGCTTTTTCCTCATGGGTCTCTGCGGAGCTCAGCATCTTGCCTCGTGCTCACGGGAGCTCTGGGAGTTTTCCTGGGACTGTGAGTGTCCTCTGCAGATCACAGAGGAGGA